GAAATGAATCTTTAGATATAAGTAAATGGAATGGATTTGATGTCAAACATTTTTTTAGCTTTAATTCAAAATATTTCTGATGCCAACGCTCTTCAAAAATTTCCCTCATTGCACTCTGCATGGTGTTGACTGTCTTCATTAGCCCAATCAGATGCTGAAAAGAAGGACGTAGAACTTCATTTCATTTTAAACAGCTTTGAATCATTTGAATCTCCTTGACCTTAGACTTGACGTAGAATTATAAATATTACCATAAATATTACCGATGTTAATATTATTATTTTAAGAAATGTCAAACAGTCAGAAGAGTCAAGTCATCAGATTTATTTTGTGAAGAAAATAGATGTGTAGATTACATCAGTAGATTGTGTTTATTGCCACCCAAATTGTCAGGAATAGCGAAAGATTGGTAAGAATCGCGTAATATCAACAGTCTAGAAGATATAAGATATAAATATATAGAATAGTTGTAAGTTTTGAGCTGTCAAGTTAGGTAACTCTGTTATAAACCGCCTGTGTCTTACATTCCTGCTATTTATTCTCATCACAAAAACTAGTGATATTTTTATTGTGAGTAAAGAGTGATAATTTGATATCAGTAAGGTGTTACACTGTTGTAACAAAAATGAAACTATTCCTTACATTAGACGTTAGACTAACGCTACAGGCTGTGTAACTAGCTAGTATTATATTAACCAGGTATAAATGTTGTAAGAAAGCACCTGTTTTTTTCTGGCAGTGACATTCTATCTTTCACATTGTTACATAACTAGGTTAGAAATTCTCAAATATGTCGCCCCCCCCTCCTCGGACGTAAACCTGACTCCGCCACTGCTTTTGTCTACATATTATTTGGTTGCCCTTTGATAATTACTCAACACAGATGAGAAATGTACTGTGTATATATAATGAAAGACAATCTTTGGATGTCCAACTGTGTTTTACTCTTGTTCTTGGTGGTGGAGGTATGAATTAGCAGACCACCAGACAAGTCTGTTACTGGTTATTACACCAGACTCAGTGTCGAGTTTATATTTATAATAACTTCTAATTCTATTTTATTAAATAATGAACAAGTTTAAACCTTGCTAATACAGAGGTTAATTTTATAAATCTGGTAAACAGAACACCCTGAATGAATTCTCTACAGTGTTGCCTGCATGCGGGGAATGGGGGGGAGGGGGAGTTGGGTAGGCAAGGGAGGGGGGGATATTAATGGGGGATGTTGGGAGTTTTGTTTTTAAAGTCAGACAAACGATGTCTATAAGATATATTTTGAAAGAATCACAGAAACAAACAAACAACTTTTATTTCACAATGTTCACAAGGAACCAATTAGCCAAACCTTTCCTGGATTACCGGTTCCCATTCATGTCTTGGTGGACAAGAATAATGAGGACCATGACTTATTCAAGGCCACTAGACTTTCACTGATTGAGGTCAGAACCCACAACCATCTGACGACCATTGGCTGTTCAATTGTTCAAAGTAACCCGGCAAATAAGGTCATTCCTCCCTGAAAACTGTTCTTCTGAAGTTATTCTTTCTAGTGAAACATTATAATAAATCTGTCATCAGAAGAAACTTTATATACCATTAAAACTAGAAATACACCCCACCCAATGTGAGTCTTTCTTTGAACAATACTACTCTTTAATGATAAAAAATTGTTTTTCTGTTCCACCCTCTAGAACTCAGCCTTATGATGAAAATTGAAAATAAACATAGAGTAAATTACTGGGTGTCTTGGATGTAAGAAAAGAAAGAAACAACCATAATTACTATGGTTCATGAGGATTCTTCCCACCAGGTGATCCCCTTGGTTAACCTCTTGGTATTGATCTTTCGTAGATTATCCGTACCCCTTTATTAGATATCTTGGAATGTCAGTGATTATGCAATGCCAAATTCAGGATAGTTTGGCCAGTGCTTCCGATAGTTGGCTTTCAATCCCATCACATTACATATTAATTAAAAGCTTAAACAACTACAAACCCTGTTTCCTTGATTTTTTGACAAGTGTGTTGAGTTGTAAGTTTTAAGATTATGTAAAATATTTCAGCAAAAAAACTGTTAAATCAAATTAGAATGATATCAGATAGAATTTACTGGTGTTTCTTATCCAATACCTTGTCTAATTACAGGCTTGGCATTGCTCTCTAATGTTTTCAAAATCTGATAGAAATTTGGCAATGTTTTAGAATGATTTACAGTATGGCTTTCATTTCCAACATTTTACTGGAAATATCTGAAGTAGAAAATTTCAAAGATGGGCAATTTTAAGAATGTGACTTTTGATTTCAGTCATCTGAAAGATTATTAAGTGCTGGTAAAGTCTTAGAAACTTTCTTGTTGAAAATCCAGTTTGTCATATTCTTGAATGAGTCGTATCTCTGTCGGAGGCACTATCTTGTGATGGGTGCAGCAGTAGCTTTCCAATGGATCTTTAGGTACAGGGGTCAAAGAGAAGGCCGCAAAATTGTCCAAGGGAAGTACCAGACAATGAGAGTGCGAGGTGGTCATGACCATTGTCCCAAATGAACATTGAACATCACATCACATGACTTGCTTGCAATATGACTAACAATCTGATTGGCTGTGAGTTTAATAACACCTCATTTTGCTAAATTGAAAGTAAAGTTGAAGGTAATGTTTCAGTGATTCTTTATAAGATAAACTTTCATCAACAGCTGTAGAGGTTTTTTCTGTCTTTCCTGATCAAATTAGTGTGGTTTTGTTGATGGTGATAGTTTCTAGTTTTGTAGTAATAGTATCATTCTACATGACTGACTGCTACATACAATGTTAAGTAGATTTCAATAAGAAACAGGAAGTCTCTATTGATGCCTGGATTTACAGGAACCTCATGCTTTGATGCCAGTCGTTAATGCAATGTTCACTTGTTATTTGATTTGTATTAGTGTAATTCTATTTGAGGAACAAAGAATTGAAGAATTTTCTTTAGAAATTTGTTGAATTTTTGATTCTTTAGATTCTGTTAAATCCAATAACAGACTTCCCTCTACATTTGTAATTTGTCAAATGATTTGATGTATCCCAGCACCAACAGGAGCATAAGAAGTTGGATTTCACTTCATGCAACTCATGTGATTTTAATACTCCATTTCATTTCAATACTTCCATTTCATTTTGATATTCAATTTTCAATACGGTCATTTCATTTCAATACTTCCATTTCATTTCAATACTTCCATTTCATTTCAATACTTCCATTTCATTTTGATATTCAATTTCATTTCAATACGGTCATTTCATTTCAATATTCAATTTCATTTTAATACTTCCATTCTATTTCAGCACTTCATTTCATTTTAATACATCCATTCTATTTCAGCACTTCATTTCATTTTAATACTTCCATTCTATTTCAGCACTTCATTTCATTTCAATACTTCCATTCTATTTCAGTACTCCATTTCATTTCAATTTCCATTTTTATGTAAATTCTAAATTTCATTTAATTTTAATAAACTCAATTGTATTCTATTTCATTACAATAAATTCTAAATTTTGAGAAACTGTTCCATTTTATTTCAAACAATGTGAATTTTAAATGTTGAGATACTCCATTTCATTTCAATTTTATACTACTTGTAAGCTTTCTAGGAAACTCCATTTAATTTCATTTCAGAAATATTCCAAACATATTCAATAACACATTCTGATTATCTTAATGGAAACATTTAGGAGTAGATACAACCTATATCAGTTTTTATAAAAATTGTTAAATTTATTTATCAGGAAATGATAAGAAAAACTGAAACGTAATATACAGAAATAGACATAAAACTGATTTCTGGAAATGATAAAAACTTCTGATCAAAAACTTCTGCTCTCTAGGACGTCTGTATCAAAATGCTGAGTTCTTATTTTTCTGACACGTTTCCAAAATATTCAATACTTTACTGATAAATTGTTGAGAAAAATTACACAGCATCAAAGGGAAGTAATTTAGTAAATTGATTGTAGCACTGAAGACGAGTATAAAGTCATAATTCTGGCTCATATCGTCTGATTGGTATAATTGTTAAGTTAAATGGGTCAGTAGTTCGTGCTAGTCAATTCCGTCTCGAGTCAAACCAGAATTAAGTAAAGATTAGCTAATTAAATTCTACGATAACCAACACTATATTAAACTGGGGAAGTCTACGAACCTCATGACGAAGGTTAGAAGTCTGGTGTATTAATACATTAATAAAATGCAGAAACATTATCCAGGGATGTCTATGATATCCAAACTGACACAATACATTTATTTTGTAATATTTCCTCAACCATTAAACTGTGGACAGTATTATATTTCAACATCATTATAAAAGATATGTCCTCCCTAATTTATTAAGAAATGATATATTCACAATTAAAATTATAGAAACAAAGATATTCCTAATTTATCTCATTAAATTGTAAAATAAATCATGATTAAAGATTACAAGTTATGTTATTATATCATGTTTTGAAATGTTATTTTATAATTATGTGTTATGTTACAATAATTAAAATATTTTCACTGTTGAAATAGGGTTCAATACCTCAATTGTTGCAATTAATACATGTGTTATGTTAACACATATATAATATATGTGTTATGTTATAATATATATAATACATGTGTTATGTTATAATATATATAATATATGTGTTATGTTATAATATATATAATACTTGTGTTATGTTATAATATATATAATATATGTGTTATGTTATAATATATATAATATATGTGTTATGTTATGATATATATAATACATGTGTTACAATACAATACAATACAATACAATACAATACAATACAATACAATACAATACAATATGTTGTATATGATGTTAGATTATCACATGATTTCATTTTATGTTTTATGTTATGTTAATATTATGTTATATTATATGATACATTATTGATATTATTTTATTATAGTATATTATGTTATATTATTTATTACTATAGTATATTATATCATAGTATAATTTATTTTACAGGATCACGATGCCAGTTATGATGTAAATGGACATGATCACGATCCACAACCAAGATACGACTATTCCAATGAAAATAGGTAAAGATCCTATTGTTATTTAGGTTATTAACAGATGGTTATTAGAGAGTGCCTCTGTTGGTTGTTATTACAATGAAAATATCAACTGTTCAATTTTATTACAATCCTAACATAACAGAGTATTATAAGTTGTGTTGGTTTAAACACATTAGATAGTTACTAGGGGCGCCTATCATTGGATGATATTACAGCAAAAATATCAAATCTTCAGTTTATTACAATTCTAACATAACAGAGAAATAAAAAATGTTGTGTATTTATTAACACATCAGATGGTTTTTAAGGGTGCGTCTCATTGGCTGATATTACAGCGAAAATACCAAACCTCCAATTTCTTACAATTCTTACATAGTGTAACAATAAAATATGTTTATGTTTGTATTAACACATCAGTTTGTATGTGTAACAGATTGTAAATGTACTTAAAATGTTTCCTGAGTTTGATGTCTTATTATTCTAGTCAGCCATTGTTACAATAACAGTCTCTTACACACACTTCCCTTGACCTCACTGGGTTCAGGTGATATAGGGTGTTGACGCCAGTGGGAGTACTGCAATATGAGCTGGCACCACAAGTGCCCTGTATAGTCTGCAAGGTTTAGGAGTAAGAGGAAGCAAATAGATTGCTGATCCTGGGTTAGATTCAAGTGCATTAACAAACATGTTGGAGTATTTTTATGTTTACAATCAGGAATATTGTAGAATAACAAGTTTACAGGTCAATATTTACCTATGAATATCCTCAAATTTATATTCAATCTTTGATTGAATATGTCTTATTCTTAAACATACATGTATGTGGTATGCACATGGAGTCCATTATGGAGGGAAAACACCAGATGAAATATATAATAAATCAGCTTTTCAATCAGACTAAAGGGGCACATAGCATTTCAACACAAGTTTTTTCTTTATTATAGCACAGGACACGGCAGTACCACCATAACAAATTTATCATCTTAAAATTAACAAAACATTGCTAAGCTAACCAGCACTTATAAATCAATAGTCCTTGCTTCATACCTCGGCCCATGCTTTCTATGAGTTAAATTCTCATTTCACCTTCACACAAGTACATGAAATACAGTAATTAGGTGATTATACCTTTCTAAATGTTTGTATTATAGACATGGTACACGCTGTGCTGGGGAGGTGGCAGCACAAGCTGATAATGGTGTTTGTAATGTTGGTGTAGCCTTTAATGCCAGAATAGGAGGTATATTGTCTTTTATTTTTCAAATTAAAAAAAACAGGTAACAAAGACAGGTGTTTTATATTGTGATAGTGATGTAATTTTGTCAATTTTTGGGAATTACACAAACCTTAGATATCAGATGAGAAGTCAGAATGGTGCAACATTCAAGCTATAGGCATCCTAGGTTAATAATATATAATTTCAGGTGTTCGGATGTTAGATGGAGATGTAACTGATTCTGTAGAAGCTCAGTCTCTCAGTTTAAATCCACAACATATAGATATCTACAGTGCTAGCTGGGGACCTGATGATGATGGTAGAACAGTTGATGGTCCAGCTACACTCGCTAGAAAAGCTTTTTATGATGGCATTACAAAGGTGAGTTTATGGAGAATTATCTATAGAAGCTATGAAACAAGGAATAGTGTCTTTGGCTTCTATAATGTGTATAGCATTTAATGACTGAGCTATCTATGTTCCTTAGAGCTCATTTCATGCTGTGGACACATCCATAGACATCAAATATATCCATCCATATATCAGGACAGTCAGATTAGTTTGAGTTAATGGATCAATATAGGACTTCAGGCATATTAGTAAAAGATCACTACTTAAACTAGAGGAATAAGGGTTAAAGACTGAAAACTTCTGTGCAATTATTAGGTAGATTGGTATCTATTACGAATTGATAACCAATGTTTATTTAAATTTCACTGACCTTCATCCTACTGGTAGTCAAAATATTAAACTTTATTTTTAATGACATTATTTATCTAACCTTGAACGCATTATATAATGAGAATGATATCATGCCAAGGTTTTTTACGCATTTCATAGAGTAAAAATTTCATCTCTGATTTGATGATAGCTGATAAAAATAGGTGAGAAAAACAGGATGACATTTCGTGTCATAATAATCTATATTGAAATATAATGATTACACAGTAGTATAGAACGAAACAGTCATTGAAGGGTTCTTCTTCATTATACATGTAATTAGATTTAACAGTCTAATTTGTGACAAGTTATTTCTGCATCAAAGTAACTGTATTAAATTCAAAATAAGAGACAATCCATTGCTAGTGGGTTTATTTCATGCTTCTTTGTTTAAAATGTAAAATACACTGTCAAATTTGTGACTGGTTATGTCTGCATCAAAGTGAATGTTCAAAATATAAGAAGTTACAGGAACTATGAGGCAATCATTTCTCCCATTGAACATAAATCTATGGTTTTATAAACATTGTGACATATTTTTGATGTTTCCTGTAATGTTTGATTAGTAGGAGTGATCCCTGCAATTTTTCACAACTAACATCATTTTAAACTCCTCTTTCAGATTTTGAGATATGAATAAGTCCAAATGTAGCTTTTAAATCAGTTGACAACGCCATTCAAATATTAAGAAATTGCCAAGTTGAAGTTCTAATTCCTTTCAGCAGGCCAACCTGTTGGAACCATTAACAGTTGATGGAAATTGTTAAAGGGAAACAACTACCTCTAAAACATGTTAACTTAACACAATTTGTTTTACATTGTAAGGTTGTGATGGAAAAGGGTCTATGTTTCTCTACTCTTTATTTTAAGGGTTATGTTTTTATATTTCAGGGTCGTGATGGAAAAGGGTCTATATTTGTGTGCTCTATATTTCAGGGTCGTGATGGAAAAGGGTCTATATTTGTATACTCTATATTTCAGGGTCGTGATAGAAAAGGGTCTATATTTGTGTACTCTATATTTCAGGGTCGTGATGGAAAAGGGTCTATATTTGTGTGCTCTATATTTCAGGGTCGTGATGAAAAAGGGTCTATATTTGTGTACTCTATATTTCAGGGTTGTGATGGAAAAGGGTCTATATTTGTGTGCTCTATATTTTAGGGTCGTGATGAAAAAGGGTCTATATTTGTGTGCTCTATATTTCAGGGTCTTGATGGAAAAGGGTCTATATTTGTATACTCTATATTTCAGGGTCGTGATGGAAAAGGGTCTATATTCGTATGGGCGTCGGGTAATGGAGGTAGAGATGGTGATAATTGTAACTGTGATGGCTATACAAACAGTATTTATACGTTATCTATTAGTTCTGTAACAGAGAACGGAAACATTCCATGGTATTCTGAAGCATGTTCTTCAACTTTAGCTACAACGTATAGCAGTGGATCAGGGGGAGAAAAACAAATTGTAAGTAGTGGAGCCAAGAAATCTATTCCCATCAAAGAATTTGTGCAAAAGAATATCCTACAGATAAACCAGTAAAGATCAATGCCAAGAGGTTTGGACAATGACCAGCTGGTAGAAAGGATCCTTTAGTGTTGTTATCTTTGTAAAATAAGGTTAAGATTTCATGGATTGCACCTTTTGACATTGAACTTCTATAGATAAGACTTTCCAGTATCCTTTACAACAGCAGAGTTAACAATTTGTGTATTTCAGGTTACTACTGATTTACGGAGAGGATGTACAGAGAATCATACGGGTACTTCAGCTAGTGCTCCTCTAGCTGCTGGTTTAATAGCACTGGGATTAGAGGCTAAGTATGTCATAGTTTGTCATTTAATTTGATATATATTTTCGCACTGGCTATTAGCACCGTCATGGCTGTTAGCACCGTCATGGCTGTTAGCACCGTCATGGCTGTTACCACCGTCATGGCTGTTAGCATCGTCATGGCTGTTAGCATCGTCATGGCTGTTAGCACCGTCATGGCTGTTAGCACCGTCATGGCTGTTGCAACAGACTCATTCTAAAACATGTTGCTATTTAACAAATATTTTTGGGGAAATAATGTGTTTTGCTCCTGATTAAGAAAATGAAGTGCAAAATTATGCAGTATGCAACATTTAAGGAATAATTTGAAGCTTCTTAAAGAAAATTTTGATAAAAAGGATGTTTAATGAATTATGGGATAACTTATATTTTTCAGTCCAAGACTAACATGGAGAGACATGCAGCATATTGTGGTAGAAACTGCTAAACCATATCGTTTAAAAGCCAGTGATTGGGTGACAAACGGGGTCGGTAAAAATGGTAAGTAGATTTGGATCATTAATGGGATTGGAAAGAGATTTTCTAGCATCTGTATGTGTAATACCATCAAAGCTATGTGTAATTTAGGATGGTGCCATTGTCATTCAGTCTAAAGTTTATTCTGGAATTACAAAAATGGGAGACATCAAACAGGAAATCTAAGTGGTGGAAATAAAATGCATAATACAAATTACAAAAGCAAATCCTAGAAGATATCTTTTCAATCCTTAGACTTAATTAAAAATCAAGATAATTTTCAGTCTATTTTGTTTATTATTTATATTGACTCTATGAAATGATTGTGGTTATATTTTAAACAGTGAGCCATTCCTTTGGTTTTGGGTTAATGGATGCTGGATCTATAGCTGCTCTGGCTAGGAACTGGACCACTGTCCCTGCTCAACATATTTGTGAAATTCGATCACCAGATCACAACAGGTAAGCTTCACCTCAAATTTTTGCTTATCATCACAAGCATGAACTCTTTTATTTCAAAATCTATTGTGTCATATTCTTATCAGTGATAATTGAATGTATACCATATAATTGCGAATCTTGCACGCACTTTTTACCTGCAAAATAAAAAAGACAGTAATCATTAAGGTAACTCTGAAAACATGAAGTAAAGATAAAAAGATATGGATTGTAAGCACTATCTTGTACCCTTTCCACCCCATGTCTATGATACTGGTATTGCTATTTTCAGAATTATACCAACGAATGGTAAAATAACAGTTCCACTATATACCAATAGTTGTCAAGGTTCGGCCAGTCATGTTAAATATCTAGAACATGTCCAGGCACGAATAACAATGACATCATCTCGGAGAGGAGAAATACAAATATTCTTAACATCACCAGCAGGGACGAAATCCACCTTGCTGGCTAAACGCGTTCGAGATACTTCTCGAGAAGGATTTAACAACTGGGCTTTCATGACTACACATAACTGGGGAGAATTCGCCGAGGGTACCTGGTTTTTAGAAATTGAAAATGGAGCTAGTTCATGTGAGTATTTTGAATGTTTGAGGGCAGGTTGAAGTTAAAGATGCAAAGTTTCTAACTTCTCAATTCACCTGGTTTTCTTCTTTAGAGAGGGAACTCTTTCTAGGTAGAAGTAGAAGTAAGTTTCAATGTTGAATTCAGCCATTCAGAAAACTTAGCTGCTGTTTGGGAAGATCTTGTGTTGGTTGGTAATCATGCCTGCTTCAAAAAGAAATCCAGAATCATCTCTAGACATTAAAAATGACCTGACATTCTACTCTTCAATTTAAGAGGATGAAAAGAGAGCTCTTAAATATCTATTGAAGATTTCTCATTGAAGAAATCTGCTAAAATGCTTTAAGTTTCTCCAGATTTTCTCATATCCTTTTCGCAATGTTACTATTGCTTAAAGCTTAAAGAGTTATTTTGAAATGAAAATGCACTATATCTAAAAAAAATTTATCCGCGATTTGAATTTTCAGTTCCAGAAGTCAACCCTGAGATATAGCTATCACTTACTTCTTTAACTTCAACTTGTTTTTGCCTTTATAACCTCATAACAACCAATATTCAAATATTATGCTCATTTTTAGCTGCAGTATTTGAACTATATTGTATTATGAAAGCTATCTTCAATTATTTGCTATTTTCAGTTTTTATTTTGACTTTTGTTTATGTATGAAATGCTGAGATTTAGTTTAGCATGATTTAGAGTTATTTCCCTTCAATAATCTGTCTCTCTATTCTGTAGTTGCATGAATGACTTGATAATTGTGTCTCAGAATATCTTATAGCCCACTATAGCTGAACTTTTATATAGCATCTTTCTGTCATTTTGCCCCTCGATCTAAGGAACTTTTTCAATTTTCAAAGGACGGCATATACCAATTGTAGGGCCTACCATTGTGTGTAGGTCTATATCAATAAGACATACAACTGTTTTTATTGTATATGATGCATTGACGTTGTGACACATGCACTCAAATGTCTATAGCCCAAGGCAAGAATGTTTACTGTTGGTCTTTTCATAATGTGCACTTACTTGTCTACCTTTAAAACACTAAAATTCTACCCTATATAGAGGTTACTGTTTTATATTCAGAAACATTAAGGATGATAAGATGGAGTTATATTTAATATTTGGGGTAAATACTAATAAAGGTGAATCATTAGCCAAATAGAAGTTACAAACAGCAGCAATTATTGGGCGGGCATCTCAGTGGCTCAGTCTAAGGTCAATTTGTCTCTAGACAGTGGCTGTGCCAGTGTCCTGAGTCTGGGGGTACAAATAGGGGGCAGATCGACTTATTAGGGGGGTCTATTGTTAAGGTTGAGTTTCAAAATACTCTGTGGAAGCATTGCTTTAAGAGGGCAAATGCCCCCCCCCCCCCTCCTGTATCCCCACTGGTGCAGCCACTTTTCCTATAGGCCTATAATAACTTATATAAATACATATCAATATTATATATTCATATTAGTAATTGTAGTTTATTGTTACAATGTCTGCATGATTTTTAAGCTGCTAATTTTGAATTAAACTTGTCTTGGAATGAAAATTATTTTAATAAAATACATCATAGAGTAGGACATACGTTCATAAATATTCTGTCAACATCTGCTAATTTTCATATTCATTCACTTCTTCTAATGAAGAAATAACTTCAGAAACTCTGTGCTAAATGAAAGTTTCTGCTTTCTGAAATCAGAAAAAGTCATGTTGTGGGGGCTATTTCCTTTTTTTAAGAATGAAATATTAAGTTATTGCATCCTCATTGGATCATTTTTAAGTTCATCATATGTTTAGATTCATTAGACCTATAGCCAGACTTGATTGTTGGAAGTAATACATCCAGAAGGGCATGGTGTATGGTGTTTAGTTGCAGGAATGAAATTAGTCCGTTGTCAGACTTTTTTCAGGGGGGCAGTGAAGCTACGGGCCTGAGTTTCATTGTTTTTGATAATGGTTATTTTTTCATTGGTAATTTTGATTAAAGTTGTTGAGAATTGTGTTTTAGTTTGGTATTTTTATTCTTTATTTTTTCTGGGGTTTTTTGGTTGTATTTTAATGAAGTTTTAAAGAATTCAGTTAATTTTGTTATATTATAGATACGGGAAACACAAATCAAAAGTTTAGCTGTTTTACTGGCATCTAATAAGTAATTAAACCTCTAATGCACTCTCTGATGTTGCTGGTGACAAATTTCTTTAATTTTATATAAATTGATTTGGATATGTGTATTGGTTTATTACTGGTATTTGTTTTATGTATGATAATACTTAATTGGTTAGAGCTCATCTCAAGCTGATCACAATGGCTTGGTTTGGTAATAAGGATTTAACTTTTCAATATTCTAATGTAAGCAGATGAGAATAATTAGAAAATTATTTTGTGCTTGTCATGCAAAAGAGATCATTGATGATTGTTCATATTTAACAAAACTAAAAGATTGGTCCTTTACTAGTCCAGCCCTGCGTTCATAGCGTTTCATTTTATATCAATTGGTAACTGCAGAGAAGACAAAATGTCTGCTTCCAAAATATGGCAAAATCAAGAATAAAAGTTGTCTGGTAGTGGACTCCTCCAAAGAGAAGTACCATCAGATGTTTCGAAAAGAGTAAGACAGCTTTATGAAAACAGACAGGTCTTTCTGTTTTCTATTGAACAAATCGTGTCATATTCAAGTGAAAACTTAAGGCAAAACAAAATGTTTTGTCAAAAATGGACAACTGAACGTGGGGCTGGTTTTGCTTGATGGTAACCCTTAGTCATTCTCATTTTATTTCTGTACAGCATCTCTTCTCTTAACACATATACTACATCCTGTTTTTACCGTTCTCTTTAGTTTTACTGCACATCAGTTAATCACTGCATGAGCCTCTTTTTCCTTTCCTTTCTTTCCAAAACCATATAAAAACCATCAGCTTTTATATTCTGCTCGGCTCTTAATACGAATGAATTGCTCAAAATGCGATACTGAACATATAGTGCATGTATTAAGGTTGAAAAAAAGCATGGTGTTTGAATCACATAGAGTTACTTACAAAATTAATAGCATTTAGTTCAATTTATTTTCGGAGTAAGTATACTTTTCAATCAATTTCATCTAACATTTTCCAAATTCATTTTCACTCTTAACCAAAATTACCAAATTTTATTATTGAGCAATAATTGCATTTCAATTTCATGTTTCATGTTACAATTCAAGGTATATTTTTAACTTGTTTCATGCCAATGATAATCTGCGTTTTGAAATTTTGATATTTTTAGGAAAGAAAGGTGAAGGAATAAAGATTTTGTTTCAGAGGCTATTATTGTAATCTTTCACCAGTGGGAAAATGGTTGAAAACTTTTTATTTTCAAATTTCTTCTTCTCTTTTGCTTATTGACGGTTTCCCTTTTTATTTTGTTTCCAGTTCGGCCTGTAAGATTGAGGGATTGGGTGTTAGTGTTATATGGAACAGAAAGACATCCTTGGAAGAAAAAAATCCCTGCCCGTCCTGGGCGAGCTCCTCCAACCAGAATGCCAATCATTAAATACCCTTCCCACAAACCATATACAACTCGACCCTCAACAACAAGTACCAAAAATACCAACAACTGGCCCTCCAATCGTAAGATTTGGCCGTTATACCGCAAATACTGGAACCCTTTTCTGCAGAACCCCGCATCCAAGTCTTCCACCTATGCACGACACAAATCGCACCACGCGCCCCATCCTGCACACATGTGTGTGTATGAAACTCTTGCCAAAAAGTCCAACATTTCTGCTCTGCAGTATATCCGGATGATTCGGCCCAATTTAACTGCAGGCAAGAATTATGGTTGATGTTGTTCGACAGTTTGCCTGAGTTTATAACATACCCCTACCCTTCTAATTTATCTCATTTTCTTCCCGCATGGCATTTCTTCATAGCACATCTTTTTCTTTCTGCTACTATTTTATTTGCTGCATGATCATTGTCATTTTTAAGTCTTTAAATGTTCATTGTTTTTGTCAGATTACCATCTAAAAGATGAATTTGAAATTGTATTGATGGTTATTTTTGAAGGTTTTCTAGTTATTATTTTAATTCTATATCACAAGGGCACATAATTTCTTTCTTTCCTAGCTCTAGATCTGTTGGAATATATTTAGTTTATATGATATTCAGTTACTGTATGATATAATGATTGAATATGTCTTTTATTTTCTGATAGCTCGTCTGTTTAGTTTCCAATATGCTTCATAATATACCAATCAAGATTGAGAAAAATTATCAGTGTTAAGAATGACAGTATTAATAGATATATTAAAATTTTGTTGTCTTTCTGTGACCTTGGCCAGTGCTTCTGTAGCGAATCTATAACCCAATACAGACCTTTAATTGGGTGATTTTGTGTAAATGAAAGGGAGGGTTCTACCAAGCGATAAAAATCTTTAGTCCTGTAGTTATTTGAGGCCGTATTCCTGTTTTGGGTTACTTTGCAAACAAATTTGTGAAAAAGTCTAAGAATTACCTAACTGTCTTCATCGGCCCAGGTGGTGCAAAAAAGTAGGACGTAAATCTCCATTCATTTAAAATTATCTCTTAAAATGTTTAAAACCTTTATATTTGAAGGAAAATGTGACTGTTATTGTTAAAGAATAAGGTCGATATCAGTCATAATTCTCATTCTCTTACAAGTCAAATTTAACGAAAACAGTTTTATAAAACTATTTAATTAAATGCAGGGCAGTTGTAATAGTTAAATGTTAAGACTCTAGTCTAGATTGTTAATATAGTCTTCAAAAAATCTGTACAAACAAGTTCATTCTCTTAGTCAAAATATCCTCCAAAGTGTGGCAAGATCGAGAGTACCATCTGGTGTTTTAAAATAGCCTTGTGGAAATTGATTAAGATCAGTGGGGGTCATAGTTCCAATCTTCTACAGGAAATAATCCTTCTAGTAGGTAGGAAACAATGATGGTAATCCATGTGATTCTAGAATTTAAACTCATTCTGAAGTCAAGCTGTTAATAACATTATTCTTCCTTTTAGATTTTAACTTTTGATTATGCGTTCAAAATCTTGATTTACATTTGGATGCGCGCTTACTTCATTGATTATTATAGAGGTTGTTTTAAGGATACATAAATACAAAAAAAACTATTGGTTTTATCAAATTAACTCAGATGAGTCTAAGCCCCATGTTCTTACACAATAATTACAAACAATAGTTGTCATAGGGAAACAAGACAAGTTTAAACTCTACTTGACTGTCAACTCAGCTTTAAGCTCATGAGTCAGCATCTAAAAGCTGAAATTGAGTGACCTAAAACTACATCTAGACAAATCATGAAAGTATATTGAATTTGAGCTCTCTCTAAATAATTACCTTGGTAGTTGTCTAAAGTGAAACAGGACAAGTTAAAACTACTCAGTTCATGAGACTGCTTCTCAAACCTGAAAATGAGCTTCCCTAAACTAATTGGGTGTTGCCAACAAGATAAAACAGACTCAAAATAAAACTTTCCAACTATTGTTTATCAATTCAGCTTCCCTTTCTGAGAGTCTACATACTAGAGTAATATGATATTCTATTCTATAAACCTTAGCATGATATAAACAGCTTTAAACTTTGATAACTATTCTGTCATGTGACACGATAAAAAAAAACTATATCCAGTGATATTCAAAATTCCTTGCTATTGCAAATTGTTAATCTTCAACACCTACTGATTCTTGTTTCGACGGGCCTCTATGAAATTCGTGAAAATGCAAGTCAAAGTTTAAATTAATAGATGCATGAATGAGTTTGACAGTAGTATTACAGTTTGCATGGTTAATTAATTTAGTATAATTGATGTAATTTTAATGAGTTTAAAAGTTTTGCTTTGCTTTTGATGTTTTTAGAATAAAGTAATAACTGAACTTTTATGAATAAATTTTAAAATGGAATAAATTTAAGTGACTCTGGGTTTTTTTGAAAAATTTCTTAAAATCACTAAAGCTTATCACACTTTTTCTGATCTTTCAAATCAATTAAGTCTCCATAATTAGCTAATTACTTAAAAACACTAATTAAAGATGTATTATTAACAAACTTGTCATTTGTTTTATACATTTCAGCTGAATTGAAGGAATGGACGTTAGTGGTAATGGGCACAGGCACCCATCCAATGAAAGATAATCACACACCCACCATCAATACAGGCCACGCCTTCACCTGTGCCGGTATTAAATCCAACGGTATATGTATAGGTCTGTTATTTTTTCCTATTGTTTTTTCTTTTATTATCTCGTCATTATTAACAGCCAACATTCCACACTACGTATTCTTATAGCAGGGCCGACACAAACTTATCTACAGCATTCTATATTTTTCTTTCATCGTAATCATGTTAAAATAATGGGAAAAAACTCATTAGGATAGAACATTCAATAGAATAAAAAAAATTGTATAATTTCTTTCATTCACTGCCATTTTCAAAAAATAATGGGAAAAATTATTGGATTTAGTACATTGTATATTGTAAATTGTAATGGGAAAAATATTATGAGGATAAACAAATTGAATATTTTCCTTTAATCACAATCATTTTCAAAATTAAAGGGCAAAAACTTATTAGGTTAGAATATTGAATATTTTCAATCAAATGAAAGAAAAATGGGCTTAAATGGGTGATTTGTAGAATGTTTCTTTTTTAACAGAATCTACAGTTTTTAAATCACAAAATATCACATGTTTTTTCTTTTTATCTTTTTCATTTCCATAAAAAACACAAGCGTCAAAAACTTGTTTCTTTAAATCATTAAGTAGTAGAGCTGTGATATGTGATGAGATTCCGTTGTAAATTTATTATGATGGTCACAATATTAAGTAAAAAAAAACACATAGGTCACAATCTGTGATTTAAATCACTAATCAAAGTAAAGTCCCAAACTTTCACTTTATGAATTTTTAATTCAAAATCAAAATTTATTTCATTCTGAAATTTGGCTGTATCATGACAAATATCACTATAACTTTTGATCTTCATTTCATTGGCAGCTTGTTCATTGATTGCCATATTCATTCTCGAAATTTGCATAAATTTACATAATACATGAATAAATAATCAGATTTAAATGACTTTCTTCACCTCAAATTATTCATGAATTCACCAGTTGTTCTAATAATCAGAACCATTTTATGATGTTAATTTCTCTAAAAATGAATTTCACCAATAAATGAAATTTTAAAATGATATAAAGTTGATTGACAAAGTTATATCTTAATTCTCTGTGGGGAAAGTAAAATTGTCCAATTTTAAAATATCTAATGAAATAATTAATTCCTAGAGTTATTTATGAATTTTATACAGTTTTAATTTGGTAGGATAAATTTGAAAATAGTATTAAGTTGATTGACAAAATTATATCTTAACTCTCTGTGGGGAAAGTAAAATTGTGGGACCATTTTGTGTTATGTCTGTTGTGTTTTTAGGGTAAAAAAATCAAAATTTTAACTTCTGAATAATAAAATACACAAGACAACCTACAATTTTAGAATTTAACAAATTAAACTGAGAATCAACGAAAAAATTTGAGGATTGTAATATTGAGATTGAATCCCAACGAATTATTAGTATTGTATTAGTATATATATGAATAATTACTATGGAAACTAATTAATCAAACAATGAATTTGCATAATATTTTAAAATATGTGATAGTAAAATCTTTATTTACTAGTTTTCACGTTTTGTTTGTAAATATGAAAAAGTATTATGTATTAAGTTATTTTGTAAAAATTGTTTTTTTTAAGTTTTATGTACAAGTATACCTCATTATGATACTGTTAAACATCAACATTGTTTGTATTGTTAGTCCCAAAATATTTAATGATGTTATAATCAAAAATCGTCATGTGCCAATTCATTGTGTTATAGACTTAATCTACATTTAAACCACATTTTGATATCTATGGTGATATGGCTTTTATTTATCTTGTATTTAAATGATATCAGTGACAAATATCAAACTGGCAATATGATAATCTTGTAGTGGAAGCTCGGGCACCTGTGAGTTATACTCAAGATTTGAGTCAGCAACTAATACTGTTCCTGTGTCCTCACTATAATGTGAATTTGAGTATTAAAAATGATGGACTGGATTGTAAAAGTTTATGATATCTACCAGGATATTTTCTAAGATTTTTATGGTATAGAAGGGGTGTTCCTTCAACACCAAATATTATAAACTTAGTATAAATTTAATCATAAAACTATTTGGCTCTTGTGAAATTACAGATGAATGTAAATCAAATTCAGTGTATCTCTAATTTGATAGTTAATTATTCATCATGGTTTGCTAGAGTTATTGCCCTTGACTGGATTGAATGAATATTGTTGCAAAATGTCTGATAATCAAAAACGATTTTAAGCAAAAATGGTCACATTTTGTGAATTGAATTCCTGCTCTTCCTTCTGGCTTTTCTGCCATATATTTAATATATATTTTGTTTTTGTTTTCCTAAATAGGGCCTAAAAAGAATGATAGGGTTTTTAGGATATTTTGAATATTCATATCATATTGACAATGGTTGTGCTTGTATATAGTAATAGAACAGTTTGTAATTTGTTGTTTGTAGGAGGCTAGCAAATTGAATAGACCTATTATGACAGATAGGCAATATTGGGATTAAGAATAGGCTTATTAGGGAAATGAAATTTATTGGATAGGCTTATTAGAAAAATAGAAAACTAGAATAGTTCATTGGATAGACCAATAAATATGAGATTAAGGATGGTTTATTCCCTACATCCATAAGAAAAATTGTGATCTTTTTTCTATCAATGAATAGAATTATCTATGGATAAGCCCATTAAAAAATAAGTGTTTAATAGGCCTTATACGATGGATAAGCCTATTAAAAATTAGGGTTTAGGATAGTTCATTGGATAGGCATTTTAGAGAATGGAGATCTAGAATAGTAGATAAGCCTAATGAGTAAGAATTAGTGAAAATGTTTATATTTTGTAATAAACTGTGCAATAGTGGTATATGAAGAATAGCTTGTAGAGTTCTCTTCTCTAGTCTGATGATTAATTTATTAACAAATTTAATGATTTGGATATCTAAATCTATATCTTGAATACTTGTCTCGAGCTAGACAGTGTATTCTCTTTTGTAGCATCCAATGCCATTCTTTTGAGTAATCTATTTGACATACTGTCTGGAAAGCCTGCATAGTCAAAGAGAAATATTGAATCAATGAGATTTATAAGGATACTACATCTTAAGATGAACATAAAATTTTAAGTCTCAAATTTGCAACAAGTGTATATATGATGAACAAACACTCATTTTGGCCAAGTTTTAAAATATCAATTTTTTTGGTCATTCTAAGAGGTAGTATACCTTTTAGGACTTCATATAGCTTTTAATGTTGATTAGATAATATGTTTTTATAATCTTGGAATTCAATTACTACCCTCTGTGAGTTACTATTTTGGTTTCTGATTATATCATCAAATTTTCCTTAATTTGGAAACTACCGGTATCAAGAAATAATTAAATAAAATGAAATAGTAATTATAAAATTTGAAGGAAATTCCCAAAAAAATATGCAGATTTTATCCGAGCCATTAAATTTGTTAATGAATTAACAACTTGTTAGTTTAATAGGAAAATTGTAAATAAAATTTGTTAATGTTTTTATACCATGTTTTAAATTTCTGGATTTATTTGAAGATCTGAATTCTCGAGATGATTGTTATGTTGTTGATATAGAGGTACTATTTTATTGTAAATGTCCACAGAGGCAAAGGCTGGGGGAATGTATGGGAGGTGTTCGACGACATTATGCACCACTTTACATCATATAACCACAAAGTTTCAAAACATTAGCTAGGATATAGTTCCTGAAATTTTGTATTCTAAGATATCATTTAAGTCAAATTGTTGGCAATACACCTTTTTTTTTTAAATTTTGGCCATTTTGAACTAGCTACAAATCAGTTCCGTAATTTTTTTAAATGAAGCCTCATTTTTTCCACCAATTTTCTTTACATAGGGCATCTTGAAATTCTCATGTCATGTTTTGAGATATTTTTAACCCAGATTCACCCCTGCCAGTTCCCAACCAGACTTTGCCCCTGTGCTACTTTCATTTTCATTTATAAATCATAATTTTGTTGATATTATCATTTCTTCCATCATTTTTCATTTTATTTCATTGATCATTTTTTTAAATAAAAACATTTTATTATGAAATATTTGCCAATTTTTCAAATTTTCCTTTTAACATGTGTTATGAAGATGTCTGCAATCTTCGTCAGTCTAAAGAAGATTTTCAAATCGATCTTTCAAAACATTTGGAGGTTGTAAGGTGGTTATATGGTCAGGGCTGAAAGATTTTTGAGACTCAAACAATTTACGAAGTCTCTGGTCTTTAAGTGATTGTAAAGAAGATTTTTTAGACACTGATAGCATCAACTTAAACCTTTTCAATTTTCAGTCTCAATATTTATTCTCTCAATATTAAGCGTGTGATGACTTCAATATTGCAAAGACCCCAAGATAATATCAATTGTTTTTATGATAGCTACTTTAAAAAGTTGAAAAAACCTTTCTACAATCCCTTTAAGAATTGATCTTCAAAGATTTATACAACCATATAGCCATTGCTAAACAAGACAGTTATTGATTGCTACAGATCAATAATTCTATCAAGGTTGTTAATAGTTTCCACCTGATTATCTTTTCATCAACAATGAGTTAGAAATCAACAGGAATTCTTCAAGTTCTGGTGACGGAATAGATTGTATTCTTATTTAATTATCATATATTTTATACTCTATTTAACTAATTTTACTCTTTATTTCATTATCTCGCCTGAATTGTCTCTGTTTATAGCGACCATTAACAGTGATGCAGCTCTGAGGGGCTGAAAAGTGATAGACAATAAACCAAGGCCCATACACGAAAGTCTGTGCAAGTTGATTATTTCAGGGTCATGGACAGTTAGAAATTTAAATAGAACTATGATACAAAACTTTATGGTGAAATGCTTCAAAATTCAACTTTTATTTCTTGTATTTTTGCAAATTATTTTACGATTAATCAAAAATAAAACTGAAGACTGACGATACAGCAGGATCTGATTGGCAAAAATACCAAATCATCGGCACTGGTAGATTTTGATCAAATCATACTCCAGTAATACAATTTCCATGTTTGAAGAACCCTAGATACAATTTTCAATGTTTATTTTGACC